GGGGGGGGGGGGGGGGGGGGGAGGGAGGAGTTTCCAGGAAGGCTGGGGGGCCAGTGCCCATGCCAATGATCGAGACCTTAAAAATCATTCAAATAGGAAATAGCAGCAGCAAGCACTGGCTGTAAGGCATTACTAGATTGCTGTATTGTGTTATCAACTACGTGTCGTTTTGGCGGCTCATATAGGCAGTATGGGAATTCCATACGTACATCTTGGGCGATTTTGATAATCCTAGCAACTGCCTGTATTTCGAATCTCTTGCTGCCAAGCAGACAGCGTTGAAATCCGACCTGAAGAAATCTGTTGCTGAGATGCACCCCTCACTAATCCCCGGGCGAATTTTGTTCCCGTTCGATTGAGCAGATATATTCAGAATACCCTTAGGGTGTTCAAGCTTGGAATAGCAGCAGCAGTTAGTATAACTGTAGCAACTTCTCTTCCACCTTTCTGTTGAGCCTTGTCCTCTGGTCCGTGCCTCACATTGGCTCTCAGGACAGGGTGGCTAATTTGGTTTTTTTTTTTTTTACATATCATGCAAATATCATTGATTTGGAAGCAAAAAAAATCTAAAAATTGCTACAGCTGTTTCCGACTTTTCGGACGAAAAATTCCAACGATTTGTGGGTTTTTTTGTGCATGATCCATTTTGTGTAGTTCGGCTATTTTTTTATCGATGAATCGAGTTTTTTTTTGTCTAATAGGAACATCTTGTCAAGCATACAACTTACGCACTGGTGAAGAGTCGTAAATCGGAGATCGGCGAGAGCAGCGAAAGTCAGGAAAATGCCGCTGAAAATACGTTTGATTCAAATGTGCCTTTGGACGAATGCTCAGTTGCGCCACCGATGAACGGCGGTGAGCTGCCGGGTGTTACCGAAGTGATACGGGGCCTATCGCCAGAACTCGATGTTGTCGGACGGAAAGTTTCATTCAGCACTGCACCAATAAAGGTAAATTTGTTCTTTTTTAAGCTTTACGAGCATTTTGTGGTTCATTTGCATAATTAGAAAATTGTACGATATGTTCTCATATTTGGGGGATTTTTTTTTAAAAGCCTTCGAAATTATTTAAAAACTTTACCGCATTTCGATAGGTGTTGAGAAGGAGGGGTACACTCTCGTGGCGCGCGTCAGGTTTTCTTCGTGTGAGAGGGAGTGGACACTTGCCGATGTTTCCGATCATTGAAGTGTCCTGCGCTCTACATTGTCGAGGGTCTAGCTTGATGAATAGGATCGGAGGGAGAATAGGAATCATGGCAAAACATCTTATTTTTCCCCTCTGCCCCTCACCCTCTCCCCGAAATGCTAGAATGCGGCAAAAGCTGTGCTTTTTTGTGTGGAATTCAAGAAAAGGGTCAAAAATAAAAACAGCTAAAAATGTTGCCATCAAAAAGAACTGAAGTAGCTCGAAAGCTGACTTGAAAGAAAAAGAAATTATTCTTGAAACGCGGAAAAGAACTGAAAGCTGAGAGAGGAGATTGGGGAAGCATAAGGAGTTTGAAGCATCGCCAGGTGGGAGTTTTAAAAACGCTCTCCGTCTCGAAAATCTTGATTACTTCACAGAATGGGCGCTGTTGCCGATTATTTTTTTTTTAAATTTAATTTTACTTGTAAAACCGTTTTAGTTTTGAAGCAAGCTGATGATGGGTTTCACTCTATCTGACATACGTCAGTAGCGAGCAGTCTGTAGAGGGATTGATTTTTTACTGGCTGTTCAGCACCGATTAACCGCAATCTGCCATTGTTTTGGTTATTTGTAATAAAAATGGTAGAAAAAAAGAATACTTTTTTCAGTGATCCACGTACATCCCGTCAAACTTCTTCGTTAATTGTAAAATTTATTCCGTAAATCTGTGTAAAGCACACTGTGAAATTGTCCTCTTTGCCGGCACAATTAAAAACTGTAGCAGACTTGTTGCAGAAAGCCAGCCAAACATCCCAGACCATATGTTTTTTAAAATAATCCAAATCCCGACATCCGCACAGGTCACTTCACATTGATTTTGTTCATCTTAGGTTTTCTCAACACATAGCGTCGTTGATTACGATCGCCGAAATGATGAGATTGATCCGGTTGCATCGTGTGCGGAGTATGAGCTGGAGCGACGGCTCGATAAAATGCATATCTTCGATGTACAGCTTGAAAAAGGCTCCGAAGGGCTTGGAGTAAGTTTCTTCATTAATAATTTTTTTTCTTGTCATTTCAATTTCAAAATGCTTTTCTGATTGCTCGAATTTTTATTTCACTAGTTTTGTTAATTCAAAAAGTTGAGTATTCGGCTCCAGCGATGGTGCAACCGTTCCCCCTCTGCGGATTCGTTCATTCGTTTCGATAGTAAATTTATATGGCATATGCCAGAGAACCAAACCCATCATCAGCTTGCTTATTAATGTCCCTTGAAAGAGGAGGCTTTTGTTAGCTTGCCGGCAGGTAGTTACTTTTGGATTTGTAACCACTTACTCAAGCTACTTCCCGGTTTCTCCACCGCTTAGGAGAGCGAGCACTGAGGGGCTTTTGATTTTTCACTTTTGACTAATTGGCAGTCAGTAATATCATAAAATTTATTTGATTGATTTTTAAGGTCTCGATCATTGGCATGGGCGTTGGCGCCGATTCGGGCTTGGAGAAGCTGGGCATATTTGTGAAAAGTATAACGCCCGGTGGAGCAGTACATCGGAATGGTCAGATTCGTGTGTGCGACCAAATAGTAAGCGTGGATGGCGTGAGTCTAGTCGGTGTAAGTCAAATTTTTGCTGCCGAAACATTACGGGCCACAGGAAGTAAGGTGAGAACTGATTTCAATCTTCTCCCACTAAAAGATATTCCAGGATACGCTGAAGCCTAGGTATTATGTAGGGCGTATAAGATGCACCTAAGCTGAGAAACTTTGCCAAAAGGCATGTTGTTTTTCCTCGAAATACTTATCATAGATATCGGTCTTGCTGTATACGGTATTTTTTAGTTGTATTAAATTTGTTGGTGTCACTTTTACTTCCCAAATCAGGTTTGTTGATCAAACAAGCACCTCTGAAAATGTGATGCTCATCGGCTGGATGGTAAATGCCAACAGGAATTACGTAACCCCAGGTCAAATGGCCTTGCATAGTTCCACTCAGTTTTCCTGGAAGACTTGGTATTCTTGGCATCATGTAAATCTGCGCGTAATTTATTGCGTGGTGCAGAAAATTGATTGGGATTCAACGGCATTTACAGGTCACGTTCACAATCGGTCGTGAGGAAAACTTGGAAGAAAGTGAAGTAGCGCAGCTAATTAGGCAATCCTTGGAAGCCGATCGTATTCGAGAAGCAGAAGAGTTAGACGATGATGACGAAGTTGACACCGATGATAGCGAAGAACCAACGATTCTGAAAGAGGAGCGCAAAATTAGGGTACAGCTTTCTTCCAGTTTCTTTTCACACTGTTTTCGCTCCGATGTCTTCTTCCAGCCGAAGCTTAGTGAAACTTTTTAATGGGAAAGAGCAATTTGTTTTGAAATTAGTTTTTTAAGCAACGGTATGGGCGTTTTCTTTTTTTTTTTTTGAAAAAATTATGAAATTTTCTTAGGAGCGCATAGCAGATTTGGAGATGGAGCTTAGTGAATCGCAGAAGAAAGCGGATCAAATGAAGGAGATCCTGGAAAGCTCACGTGCACATTATGCAATGCTGGAAAGTAAATATGAGCAGGCGAATCAGCTCTTGAGAAGTTACCAGGAAAGGTTGCTTTTTTATGCATTTTAGCATTAAAAAAAAAAAAAAAAAAAAACGCATATTAGCGTAAGTTTCTTTATGTGTGCTTATGTTGTAATTTTGTCACCCACTTTCAGCTCAATTAGCCGCCAGGGAATTTGAGCTTCCCTAGCACAGACAACTAATTCGTAGGGAGTTCTAAGCAGATTGCAGCCTACAGGTTAACCCTGAAAGTGCAGATGGCAGAGTGTGAGGGAGATAGGAGAAAGTAGTAGTGTAGATTGTGGAAGGTGAGAGCGAGACAAGACGTTTCGGTCCGGTTACGTCATATACGTCTTAACTTCAGAGATTTCAGTCGCTTGTGTGTACTGCATTTTGTCAATTCAGTGGTCGTACCTATTCAGGGAGAAGGAGTTGCTGGAACGTGAAGAGGCACACGTTGACCAGTTGCGCCAAAAAGATGCTCATTACAGTGCACTGGTTAGCCAGCTCAAAGAGCGAATCGATGAACTGGAGCGACGTCTCGACGAAATGGCACAACGGTTCATTTTTTTTCTTTTTCTACAGCATATCTTGAAATTTCAAGAAATCTTACATAGTGACAAAATACAGACGGCTGCCTTAAATATATCTAGCTGGAGTACCGCTCCTTCTGCACTTGGGATGGTACTTATTGATGGGTTTTGATATCAGAGAGAACCATCGGGAGTTTCACCAGCCGACGAGATATTTTGGTAAATTGCTGCTGTATTTTAGTTCGAAATCCCTGTGATAGAGAGAGAGCGAGAGTGGGTGCGAGAGTGCTTTGAATTTCAAAATATTGAGACCCAAAATGGTGGAATCATATACCACGACACAAATTCGTGAGGGAAGCCTATCCATTTTCTGACTCGAAATTACATATATTTCGTCAAAAACTTACTTGAATCATCTGCAGCTCATAACGTTCACTCCCCAGCTGTGTGGCTTTTTTATGTTAGCATTAAAGGATAGATTATAATTACACCGTATAGACAGTCATCAGACTCTTCGTCAAATGAGCAGCATTCAGGATGTCATTGCACCCACACGAATAAGTAAAATCCAACAGACAGAATATGTATGTTGTTCATCTTGCCGACAAACGAAGAACAATACGCGTTATTGAGTGATCCTCACGGGGAAGTAAGTAAGCTATCACACGAGTGATCTCCGCCGAAGAGATGGCGCACATACATAGAAGAGGCAGTGGGGGTACTAACTGAAGGTATGCAGCCCAGGATCAAAGAGTTTGGCACAGCTGCACTCGTAGTGTGGAAGCATCCTAGTAACATCACCAGCAAGAGATACCCAAACTTGTAGCCCGAGCAGTCTGGTGTTCTTGGTATTACAGATGTAAATGAATGAAGGAAAAAAAATTTTTTTTTTCAGTCGCGCAACCGTCATGGAAGTGGAGCTTTCGGATTTGAAAGAGCAATTAGCAGCTCGAGATGTCAGCCCTGCGTTAGCTTACAAACCAACATGCCCAATGGATCACACTTCCGCCAAATCCACCAAAATTCTTGCTGTCAAGGCCACCAGCCTGGTAAATTTTTTCAAAAAAAAAAA